AGCGGTTAAAATCATTTCGTGCGCTAAAAATGTGCCGTATAATAACTGCCTTGAAGCATCTCGCGTTATTTCCTCGTGTCATTCGAACGTTAAAAATAACAGAAGATGGAGAAGAAAAATACACTAATATACATTTGGAAATAGAAGTTTGCGGGGACGAGTGATAAGCGGTTCCCTTTCGCAATTTTCTCGTGTTCGCTTAATCTTCGAACAGCGGTTCTAAAAATGGGATGTTTCGCCCACGAAATCTCTCTCTCTCTCTCTCTCTCTCTCTCCCTCTTTGTCTTAGGCACCACGTCCGAACGATTATATCAACAAGTTCCAAACGCTAAAAAGAAGTACGGGATTTAGACACCGCGTGACGTCGATCTCCACGGAGGAGATTCGACCGGTGTCCAAGAAGCGAGCACGAATTCGAGAGGAGTCGTATGGCTCGTTCGCGGTCGACAGGCTTGCATGCACGGTGACGGGATCGTCGAGGTTCGAGGGAAGACGAAGACGAAGACGAAGACGAAGAAGAAGAAGAAGAAGAAGAGGAGAAGGCGGCGGCGGTGGCCGACGTTACCTCGCCGCCATGCCATCCTTCAGCGTTCGCGTTTGCGTTCGCTCCGAGCTTTGCGTGCCACTCAACATTGGCAAGTAATTTCTTGCACGCAATTGCCCGCTACTGGAATTGCCTGGTAGGCGACCTTAGTCCGTCAGTCATTTACTTTTTAAATCGATCCTACCTGCCCGCCCCTCCCTGCCTCGCCTGTCCGTCCATCCGTAACTCCGTACGGCCGACCCTCGTGTGCACGCGTGTGCGAGCACACACGACTCCGCGGCACGCGGAATTTCCCAACGCTAAAAATCGATTCGCGATAGGCATTCTCCTTTTCGGCGGCGTCCATCTCTCTCCCTTTCCCGCCGTCCCTTATCGTCCGCCTCGTACAAGGGATGTTTCACGGGCGGAAACTCGCGAGTCTACATTACTCTTAGAAAATCTGATCAAGCGTACGATTTGATACTGACACGCTGCTAAACGTGATTTGTGTATTCTTCATCACCTTCTTTCATTCGCTGTACAACGATAAGAGATGTGTTGCCAGATAATAATCCGTGGCGATTAATTATACGAGGTCTTGGATTATTCTATGAAAAAGATGCTGATTCTGTTATTGACAGCCATCACGCTTGCGACGGTTGCCTCGAACGTAAAGCGGTTTCGATACATCGCTTAACGCCACGGTGTTAGGGCTGGATTACGTCGCGTATTAATTTTCTTGTCGAGTCAGTCGAGCGTATCGGGATATTCTGTGATGTCGCTACCCGTATCATTAAAGTCGCGAATAAATTGCTCGCCGGTATACGGATCGCGCGATGGTTTACCGAGTATCGCTGAACACCGTTTCCCAACCCCTTAAACCCGCGATAATGGTCATCCCGGTGTTAACCGTGCTTAGGATCGAAGCAGTTCCTACACTCGGCGCATCACGCGGCTGAGGCAAACTTAGAACGAATCGATATACACGCCGTTATTTTGCATACAAACCGTGCGAGAAGGTTCCGAGCTAACTAGATACTCCGTAATAAAAAATCACCTTAGAAACTGGTCTTAGAATATTTCAATATTGGACCAGTGAGTATTTGAGCGATACAATATCGTTATCTCTCCGCGAAATTGGCGCTGCCGCCGCAATTGTACGGCGTTATTTCACCGTGAAACGACGAAAAAAATGCCTAAAGGTTCAGTTTATCGATTTCAAGTTCAGAAAGGTGATCCGCGATACCTTCAAGAGAGTCATTCCCCGGCATGTTTGCCGTGCGAAATGGTCGCGCATAAAGGGACAGAGTGTAATCCTTTCACCGGCATGCCGTTTCGAGCGCAGCTGGATCGGCCCGTGACTCTAACGCGAGAAGGAGGGAAAGAATTATCTTCCGAATCGAGGCTACCAATAAGCAATAATTGTACGTTTAGCGACCGTGCCGCGTTTGCATTCGTGTCGGCACGACAAGCCGGACCGCCGCGGAGAGCAGGGAAGCGAGGAGCAAAATGACTATATCTTAATCATCTTTGGTTATTGCCTTTCTAGACCGTGTGCTCGACTTCGCTCGTGGGAACCCATCTCGCCGACGTGGAAGAGAAAACGCTGGGATCCTTCGCAGAGGAAATTCGCGGCACGCATACGCGCTTATCGTTCGGTGATCAAAGTACAGAGAGCGTTCGCTAACATTTTCCTTCGATTTTAAGAATGAATCCGACGAGTTAACCGCGTGAAAATAGAGTAGAGCAAATTTTCACGCTGCTTGACGATGCGAAGTGAAAATTTTCAGCTCCCGTCTACAAGGACACTTCGACGTACGCACCCTCGATTGCACACGCGACCGCGGTCTGAGCGAGTTACGCGAAAAATATGAACACGTCAGATTTCATGTTTGGGGACGAGCCGTGTCGAAGAGTGATGCGTACGTGTGAGAAATCGTGTCTACATGATCCGCACGTAAAAGCATTATCGACGCCCGTACCCGCAGGGAGAAACTGTCGTTGATCGAGTACGGGATCGACTCGAAAGACACCCGGAGATGCGTGCCAAGTACGAGCGGCGGGCTCTCTCAGCCCGTTTTTCGCGCGATTTCGATGTTTACCTGCGCTAACCGGATTTCTTTACTTTAAATTATTGGGGAAAATTGCGAAACCGGTACGTGGAAAACTTGGATTAAATATTTCGAACTTAAAAAACACATCTATGTAACTTCCAAGTTACATGACAAATTAACAATTTGAGTAGCTTCTTGTCGCCAGTCGTAATCAACCGAGGGGAATTTTTTTAAATATCGACCAAACTGGCAAAATTGATGTTTATTTTAGTCACGACGTTTCGTCCGCTTTATCTGGTCCTTTTCAAGTACAATCTGAAGTTCTTCTTCTTCTTCTTCTTCTTCTTTCTCGTGTATTAGGCTTAAAAGCTTGTCTTATCCAGTTCTTTCTGGTACAGAACGAACTGGTACTTTGTGCATTCGGTTTTTATTTCAACCTTGGTAGGCTGCTAACCTTGCCGAAGGAAACCTCCAATCTGGAGGGCTGTACCCCTCAAAGGATATGTGTGACAGAATACTCTCGGTGATTACCACTTCCCTTCGGGAAATTCCGAAAAAAACCAGCGGTGTCTGTGGATTTAAACTCGAATCTTTTCGTTCATTTGTTTACTAAGTAGCGTACATTTCTCTGCGCCACACTCGCCACCAATCTAAAGTTGACTGAACATTTTAATTTATGCCGAAACAGAATGGATTCATGAGTCCGTGGCAGCAAATTCATAATATCATACGAGTATGTGTCTCGGTACGGTTGCTACTTGGAAATTTTAGAAATTGACATCACATTATAAATCCACTGACTACCGAGACAGATATGATATTATGAATTTGCTACCACAGACTCACGGACCCATTCTGTTTCGACATAAATTAAAATGTTCAATCAACTTTAGATTGTACTTGAAAAGGACCCGATAAAGGGGTCGAAACGTCGCGACTAAAGTAAACATCAATTTTGCCAGTTTGATCGATTTTTAAAAAATTCTCCCCGATTACAAATTAAGTTCAGCGCTAACTTGATAATATTTCTTTTAGGGCGCAAAAGGCACTACGCGATTCAAGAATTTATTGTGATAGATCAGTAATTTCCGTTTAATCTTTCAGTACAATTCGATAACTTTTTCTCCTAAAGTCAAAAACTTTATTAAAATATCGTAAAGATTTATTAAAATCTTGAGTAAAATATTGAGTTATCACGCGGCATTGTGCTACATCCATTTTGACCTTTCTATCTGCAGCAACGGATGGCGCCACTGACTTTAAATCGATAGAAATAAAATCTTATACTCCTCTTGGAGTACATACAATAAAAAGAAAATATTATAGAAATAACTAAGCAATTATCTGTGCAGATTATAACATTATAGCTCGTCATATTTTTTTACGATAACATCACATTTCTCGTATTATGGTAGATAAATATTTGAAAGGTTCCCAGGAAATCTAAACTATCAAACAATAAATCCACGAGTTTATATTAAAATCTTTTCAATCGGGTAACGACAGAAATATTCACAGCAATTATCTACAATTTTATAAGCAATAGTAAAATATTCACTTTGCCTCGTGACATTCTTATGATTTACTCAAAAGCTACCAAGAGTTACGTAGGTCATATCGCGAGATTTAAAATAAAAAATGCGTGAAATTTCAGGAAGACATATTAATATCACGTCGACCTTGCAAAGGATCGCATTGACATATTAATACACATATCCCTGCGTTTAAATTATAAATGATTCGTATACGTCAAAGGTGGGACGTGATGGAAATTCTAACGACCATGAGACGTGCTCCCATGTGCTCCGATAAAGTAATCTGCGTGACGTTGGCGAGCAATCGCGGTTATAAGTTGGTTCGCTTTACATTCCACGGAGAGCTTGGATTTGATTAAAAATAAAAATTTTAACAAATACTCTCTACTGCGCTAACGTGCCGGTAATATCACGTTGTCGATCTCGTAGAATGTTATCTATGATTACTTAGAAACATATGGAACTTATAATTTCCAAGTATCTCGCGCTTGACGCAATACATTCTTGAAGATCATAGTTCTGATCTTCTATCGAAACGCGCTTTCACACTTGCGTTTTATCTCTGTGTATATAACATATATTATCGCGAATTATAACATTTATATCTTTGCAGACGCAAAGATGTTTGCTGATGCAAACTTCCTGCAAATTTGTATTTCTGCGCGGAGAACGCAAGTTATAAAATTAATCTGTGACAACCGTCACATAAGATATTTCCGCTAAGCTTTAGAAATGATTATATTACTGTAAAAAAAATCACCGAAAATTTTTATCAAAAACACTCGCATACGAAACACAGAATGCGCTCTGCTTTAAAATAGAAAAGCAGCGCATGTTTTTCATCACCAGCGCGCGGATTTTCATTGAAATCGCGATCCCTGACGAAGCATCGCGACAAAATCACCGTGCAGTTACGCCGAACATGCGTGTTAAGTACTGACTCGAAGATTTTTCTCAACGGCGAAAGAAACGCGCTTGGAATCGTCAATGTCATCGGGTTATCGGGCCGTGGCCGTCAATGTTTAAGGCTTGAACACCGTGCAAGTTGCGAGTTGTCAGTTGCTCGGTTAGTTGAGAAGAATGCGCACATTCTACACGATTCTCGTGCTCGTCATCATCTCCGCGAGCCTCGCTGAATGTTGGTCTTTCTCGAACGTCGCGGCGTCCATCGATAAGTTAATACGGCCGCAAAATGACACCTCGAAAGTGTCACATGTCGGCGGGAATGGTAGCGCTACGCCGACGGCGTCCCCAGAGGTCACGGTGCAAGGCAGAATAATATTCGTTCCACGAAGGAATAACGTCGTGTGTCAAGCGGGTCAGCAAGTCGACCGGCGTGGCAAGTGTAGAATAGTATGGTGAAGCTCGACGGGTGACAGGCAAGGTACATTTTAAGGTAGTTATTTCGTAAAATCATTTACGTGAGAATTGTTTCAAATTTTTACAGTTTAATCTAATACATTAACACGTGCAAAATAAGACTAGTTAAATTAAAATTGACCGTCTCCAAGTTAAAAAAAAAGTTAAAGTTTGCAATGTTACACGAAATATCACGTGTAAAACACGTTAAAATATTGTTACACGTAAAATAGTATTTACACATTTTATTATGTGTTAAAATATTAATATTTGTGTTTGCAAACGCAATGATGGCATTCGTATGAGAAACAAATATGTTATAAAGTAAAATAGAACGAATAACTGGAAAAAAAGTCCAAATTATTGACTGTTCCGTTTCAACAATATAAACAGATAAAACTGAAAAATGGGAAGAATTATGTAATAGACATGAGTGCAGTGTAAGAAATGTGGCAACACACAGCGTCTCAAACTATAGTCTTTCAAATCTATTTTATATTATGTATTCATCGTAAGGGTATTCTTTAGAATAATATTGCATCAAGATATATCACTGTAATAATTGAGTGCTGGTTTGTGTCTGAAAGAAACTTTTGAGCATTACTGTCGCGAAACAACTACCTTAAACATAATGTTGTCACAAAACAATTTTTTTAATCCTTCATGTCATACAGATTCAATTTTTTTTTCTTCTAATCAATTATTTTTTCGCTATCCATTAAGGCGGCTCGAGCATAAACCGACCAAAAGTAGGAAAAATTGAAATTTAAGTATATCGTAGTTGTAAATTTTATTCGTCTGTACGCGAAATTTCAGATGGTTACCGATGAAATAAAATAAAGAAAAAGGTTAAAGTTGTATTTTTTAATATTGCAGTGAACACCCAGTAACAGTTACATAACGTCAATATTATAATTTCCTACTCAACAAGATAAATGTAACATAACCCATGTTATATTACATTTCCATTATTAAGTAGGAAATGATAATATTGATTTTATGTAACTATTACTTGGTGTTCACTGGGATAGGAGTTATAGGCCGATCGCCCGCAGAAGCACTTTGAGGGTTAATATTATCTTATAGAAAAAGCAGATCTTAAAAAAAAACGAGATTAAATGTCACAAGGATTCAAATACGCTATTAAGTATATGAGGTCACCGACCTCTGCAAGCAAATACTTATTAGCAAAGTCCAAAGATACAATGTTTTGAGGAAATTTGGTAGCTCTTTGAGACTTGAAAATATCACATATTTTTAAATATGTTTTTAAATGTGCATATATAACCAAGCATATCAATGCATTTGATCAATAATGCATCAAGTGATATTTTTTCATGAAAAATTCATATGAATTTGTAAAAATCAATAAGGCCCCACCAAAGCACCCATAGTAACCGCTCCTTCGTGCAGGAGTCACCCTAATTGCACACGGAGTATCCGAGAAATCGAAATGTTGACCTGATTTCTCGCGAAAGAGCAAACGAAGAACGTACAGTACGTCTTCTAAATTGACTAGTTCTCGAGGAAAACAAGTTCAAACATAAAAGTAGTGTATTATCACGATAATCGTGCTTGGAAATAAGGAAGGTTCATCGCTATCATCGATAGTGTCACCGTGGGTTATCGAGAATGCTCATAGACGAAGCCAAACAAACTTTTGCTCAATACATCTCCGTCAAGAATGAATAATTGATGATTAATAATTAATGTGTAGGTACTTCCTCCTATTACATTATCATTTTCGGGAATCAATCGTGTAGAGCGGGCCATTAACCTCGTACGTATTTTTAGCAGGTCGACTTTACGCCGGTGAATCGTCCAAGTAAAGTTCAAGAGATTTCGAGTTCTGGGTATCGTAATCTCGAATCGATGAAAAATTCCGGACCCACTGATAAGCCCCGCCGACTGTCGTCTCCGCGATATTCCGCGTCGCAGATAATGTAGCCTTTTAAGCCGGTTTGAGTACAAGGTCGATTTTAATTAGCCCGCTCGTCCGTTTCCGAGTGGTCTGTTTGCGTCGGTTTCGAGGAGGAGGCGGTGGCGGCGGCGACGGTGACGGAGAGAGATCAATCGTCATTGCAGTTTCTCAACGACTCGATCGCGTTTGCCGGCCGGCGGGATCGTCGCGGATTTTCTCGCGGAAAATGTGAGACCCGAGTCCGCACTGTCCGAACGTGCCGAATCTGAGTTTCGTATCGCTCGCGGCCCGATGAAGCCCAAAACGTGGCGCTCCGCTTCGTGACTGACGAACTTTGTCATGGGCTGAACGCTGATAATAATTCAGCGGGCACGTGTTCCCGAAGCACGAGCAGTAGTGTGCCGGCAAGTGTCGCTAATCGCGCTGCGACTCCGTCTAAGAGGATAAAACTTTCTATACGTCGGTGGTTTCCTATCGCTAATCCCCCGAAGCCTCCTTGAAACGTGCGAAGATTACGCGTGATTACGTATTGCGCGTTACTTCTCGTCGAGTGGTACACACGCGCACGTTTGCATACGTACGTTTGGAACCTCGAGAAGGTGATTAATAATCGGGGAGAAAATTTATTCCCGAGAATCGCGCGAATCTGCAGTTAACTCCATCAGATTGAAAATCGCGCGACGCGATCGCAGAATAAATTAGCGAGAGGCGAGATCTGGACAGGCTTCAGTCGTTGATTACTCGTTGCATACTACAGTCGTACGCAGCTATGAGGCGTTTATTGGCTATAACGTTCGCGATAGCGCTATTTTTCATCCTGTCGACACCGAGCACGCGCGCGACCGACCCGAGCGTCTCGCGGGAGGAAAAGCGCTTCCTGCGCTTCGACAGCTACAAAATCGAAGCTGGATCAATAATTAATGTTCCTATACAATGTCCGCCGGACAAGGTCAAAGTTGGAAATCGCTGTCGAAGCGTCTTTTAGGTAAGAACGAAGCGGAAACCCTTCGCTGCTAAGGGAAACATCAATAATTGCGTCGCACCATTAAGATCTCGAAATTAATTGGACGCAGACTTATCGCCGCCATAATTATATAGACAATGTTATTTTTCTAAATAACGTTATACACGTAAGAAATGATAAATCGTTGGTTGCATTATTCATTCTTATTTTAGATGCGTCCGTCAATAATACTCGATTCCTACGATACACTGACGTCAAGCACGTTCGAGTTTCAGTCTCGTTGATTGTGGTGTGACGTAAACTTGTAATTCCGACGAAGTATAACGCTTTAAAGTTGATTTTCTTCACCGGAAGTCGCTACAACTCATCAACTATTCCAGTAGCCTTACTCGTCCATCAGATGTGCACACAATCGTCACCTCATATCGATCCCTTTATACCCGTCAAACTTAAATATGCAATAAGTTGCGCAGATCTGTATTTATAGAGCGGCCTTTCTATTTTCACGTACGCCGCACAGCACTTACTTCCGACCATAGAGCGATGTGCAATACCTGTATGCAAGTCTACCTGCGTGAAGCAGATCGAATTGACAAGATCTTGGTTTTTGTTGCAGAATCTTTATAGATAATTCAAGTATTCCTGTTTACGAGAGACGACGTTCCCGGGAGAAAGCAGGTCCACGGGATTGAAAAGGAACAAGAATGTTATTCTGATCGTCGGCAATAATTAATGGGAGCCATGGATCTACGTAGGATGTACCTAACTAATTAATGATACATATAAGATCTGTAGTCCGCCGAGTCCAATTGGCAATTTGTGAATTTCATTCGAAACGCAATTAAGATGTTAAGGCCACGAACTAAATTATTCTGGATGAATATAGTCTAAGGGCTCTGATAATAAAACAATAAAATCAATAGAAAGGGAAGGCAGAAAAGGGTGATGCAGAGGATGTTAGAAGCGACGAAACATCAGTTTAATGTGTAAGAACCTTCACAATAGTCAAACGTTTCAATCAACTCCATGTGATCCTTTTCAATGACATATGACATATAACATATAAGTAATCTATTTTGTTGATCGAAACGTTTGATTATTGTGAAGGTTCTTATACATTAAACTGCTATTTATTCGCTTCTAACTTCCCTTTCTATTAAATTATTCTGTTGCGCATATTTCTTCCTAGACACGCGAGAGATAAACTATAATGTACTTTTATATCGGGCGTGTGCAACAGTTAAAATCAAAGATTATAGAGTATTAAATTTATTTACTAAAGAATAAATAGAGTATTCTATCGTCCCCGTGAAACAAGCTGCATTCATTGTTTCTCTTTCTGAACGTATACATACAAAAGTGTATTCAAGATTATTAATTAGATGTGTGTTAAATGATACTTTACGTATCTAATCTAATGATGTAAAATATACGAGACACTATGCGCGATAATTCGCACAGTTTAATTTTAAATTAATAACGCGTAAAGCGTATCGGATGAATAATTAAGATATTCATGTATACATATGTATGTAAAATAAATGAAGTATTTCAAATATACTTGTATATGCTTTTCCTATCGCTCGTATTTCCATCAAACGGGATTTGACAGTGTGCCCACAAATCAAATTGTGCACGCAATCACTCTCAACAATTTATCGCGTTGCGGAAGTCGCGAGTAAAAGCTCGTGCGTAAGCAATCAGGATATGATTTCGACCACTAATTAACAATGACGAAACGGAAAGGAGACAGGAAACCACATTGATGGGCCCAAGTTGTATATAAATGCACGCGCTACCGTTATAGTTCAGTTATTAGCATTTTGATGTTGCAAGCGCTCAACGTCGAACAAGAAGGAAAGAAACCTGACGCCAAACCGTCTGATCTCGTCTACCCAATTTGAAATTCGAGAAAGTGATCGGGAGATTGAATATCGTCTGCAATAATGGCACCCGCCCGTTTCATTCTACTGATTCTCGTGTCGATAATATTAGTATTTGGGTGCGAGGGATGGCCGCTGACTTTCCCTGCGAGGAACCGGGTAAAGTGTCCGACGGGCTATAGACCCGTCCGTACCGGAGGCTGCAGAAGGGTTGTAGCAACTTAAGATACGACACCCTCCCTTACGCAAGGTAAATATTCATGCTAATAATTAATAGGAATATTCTTAAATGTCGCCAGCAGTAATTAACAACGTCAGGCTTTTCTTGACCATATCTGGCATTTTTAATAATACAGAAAATTTATTGCGAAAAATATTATCTCAGCCAGAGTTTGAACCTGGACTTCTCTACACTCTAGGCGGGCGTCTCACCAATTCGACCACTTGGCTTGCCTCAGTGCCAGATATGGTCAAGAAAACACTGACGTTGCTAATAATTAATCTTTCTGGATTGACAAACGTTTTATTTTTTATTTCTTTTCTTATCCCTTGTACTGAAACATATCCTACTTTGCATACTGTACTTTACGTACGAAAAGTAGAAATGTGTTGGATAAAAAAATATTTTAATTACTGTCGCATAAATTGAAGTGAACCCGTTATAATAACGAAATGTGTTTCTTTTCTTGATTTTAGAATGTGGCACAAACAATGTCGCAGGATATTTTTCCCCGGAAATGTCATACTGGCAAAGGAAACGATAACGCTTTTGTTTCTGGTATCATCACGATCGTATCTTTTAACTTCGAACCTATCAGTAAAAGATGGATTGAACGTACACGAAAATGATCGCTTTGACAAAAATTGGCAATCATGAATTATCAGAAGTCCAGCGCTTTTGTAATTAATATGCAGAACGTAAATATTGCATACCACCGTATAAATATACAACATTAATAAATAATAATGAAATAAATAAAATAAATCAAGTAATTGTTTCCATCAATGTCTCCCTCCCTTCCTCCCCCGCTCCCCCCATTCTTTTTCTCTCTGCCCATCATATTTACAATCTTCATTAAATAAGTAAATGAAAAATAATCGAACAATAGAAACACTTTATTGTAAGAGCACTAAATATTATTCTATTATATTTAATCAAAAATTTTTGATTTGTCATTTATCTTTACAACAAGCGATACTATAAATTAATTATTGAAATGATATTATTGTTCAGATGATACTACCAATTTTAATAAAAATTTAGGATGCCAGATTATACAACATATCTCAAATGTGGAAAATAACATTAACAATTACCCGTTCTGCATTTATCTTTAATTGGTAACAAAATAAATCTTTCAATTTGTTCCATTACCTTGTTACATGTACAAATATTTATTGTTATTCATCATAATCGTAAAAAGTATACATCTCAATAATATTTTTTAACACTACAGTTTAATTGACATTTATGCACTCGTTGCGCACTTACACTTTGAGAAATTAATTATTAGACTACAACAAGCGTCAAAGTATATGTATAGTTTGATATGGCATTATGACGGCCCAGTAAATACCAGGTAACAATTACATAACGTCAATATTCTAATTTTCTACTCAACAATGTTAATGTAATATAACACGCGTGTTATATTAACATTTACATTGTTGAGTAGAAAATTAGAATATTGATGTCATATGTAAAACTGTTACTTAGCGTTGACTGGGATCATTATTATTAATTATACATATTTTCAAATTTATTTAGACAATTTATTTCCTTATATACCTTCTGTAGTTATCTCGAGACAACCTGCGAAATACCGCCGCGTTGAAAACGTTCGCAGTGTTGGATAAGTAAACTTTCTTACACCCGATTGTCGATAACAACGAGCACATAAACTCGACTCATATTTAAACTTCCAATTAAATATTATACAAGAATTAAAAATTGGCACTTTATAGCCATCTTCTCTTTAATATCATTAAAAATAGAAAATAATTTTTTAGTGTGAAATTGATTGTTCCTCATATTTTTAACATTATAGAACTTTCGAAAACTAAGAACAATTGTGTTTTAATTAAAGCTTTTGATGCGCAATATGGCGAAAGATAGGAAAATACTAATATTTCCTATCATTATTTAATTATTAATAAAAAAAAGAAAGTGCACTCGTTCCTTAATTTACACGGTTGAGAATCGTGTAAATAGACTACCAATATGGAATAAAATACACGAGAAAAAGTCTTGTATACTGCAAAGTGAATATTGAATAGCTCAAGTAATTTTATATACAATAGCAATTTTCTAACTTATTTTTCACAAAATTTCGTGCGACATGTGTATGTGCACAATTTTGCACTGCTCGTCAAAGTGCTTTACATATTTAAAAAAAAACAAGATTTTGCAACAAGATTATGAAAGCGACAAAACTTAATTCTTTCCCAATTGCAAGACTGAAATAAACCAATTATTCCTTCGTTTTTCAGTCCCTTTTACCTATGTTCTCCTCGCTGTTTCTCGGACACTGTTTCGAATGAGGTTAGTCGTTATTAAAAAATGCACGAGAAAAATACTGCAAAGTAAATATTGAATAGCTCAAGTAATTTTATATACAATAGTAATTTTCTAACTTATTGTTCACAAAATTTCGTGCGACATGCGTGTGTGCACAATTTTGCACTGCTCGTCAAAGTGCTTCACTTATTTAAAAAAAACAAGATTTTGCAACAAGATTATGAAAGCAACAAAAAAGTTAATTTTTTCCCGATTACAAGACTAAAATGAATCAATTATTCTTTAGTTTTTCAGTCCCTTTTATGTTCTCCTCGCTGTTTCTCGGACACTGTTTCGAATGAGGTTAGTCGTTATTAAAAAATGCACGAGAAAAATCTTGTATACTGCAAAGTGAATATTGTATAGCTCAAGTAATTTTATATACAATAGTAATTTTCTAACTTATTGTTCACAAAATTTCGTGCGACATGCGTGTGTGCACAATTTTGCACTGCTCGTCAAAGTGCTTCACTTATTTAAAAAAATAACAAGATTTTGCAACAAGATTATGAAAGCAACAAAAGTTAATTCTTTCCCGATTGCAAAACTGAAATAAACCAATTATTCCTTCGTGTTTCAGTCCCTTTTATGTTCTCTTCGCAATTTCTCGGACACTGTTTCGAATGAGGTTAGTTGTTATTACGGAGGAGCAGTAGAATAACGATAGTAAGGATTGGCAAGATTGTGTCGTGAATTTCATTTAGATCTGCATGGATCTGTATATTATTTACGCCTCGATTTACGCGAACCATATAGACAATATTCGGCGAGCGCCCGTGCGATTCGTTCGAACGATCGAGACGGCTAGACGGAAAGGCGAATAAAAACAGTCCGCGGAATAAAGTTGAAACGCAAGAATAATGCATAAATGATTGTACTCACCGGAGTGTTGCTCCGCCGGCGCCCGATGCCTCCCAGGCCGCCGCATCCTCTCAGACTCCATCTCGCACTCGGCACAACGCGGCACTCGCGAAAGAGAAGCTGATTATGTCGAGGTAACGCGCGACACGGCACTCCCGGCATTAACCGACGCGAGGTCTATTACAACCCCGGCGAGAAATGATTTGTCGGTCGACGTTAAAACGATGTCGAATCGTCAATGTTGCGACGTTTTTGACCGGGACGAGAGCGAGAGCGAGAGCGAGAGCGAGAGAGCGAGAACGAGAGAGCGAGAGCGAGAGAGCAAGAGCGAGAGAGCGAGAGAGCGAGAGAGCGAGAGAGCGAGAGAGCGAGAGAGCGAGAGAGAGAGAAAGAGGCGTCGATGGCGTCGCGCGAAACGGCGGGAACGTTCCAGTAAGGACGCGGATATACGCGAGGCTCGGCGCGTCTCGCAACCGAACGCGAGCGTTCAACGTTCCTCTCGCCGCGCGTCGCGCGTGGAAAGCTCGGGTATTCCTACCGGCGCGGCGAGGAGACGCGAGCTAAGATTGAAGCTCGGATACCCGCGTCGTCGCGCGAGTCCGGCTGCGCGCAGGATTCCGGCCGGCGTTTCTCGCGAGATCTACGCGCGTCGGCGAACCGCTGACGCGCGAGTGTCGAACGATCTACTGCCGCGATTGCTCAACTTGATCAGCGTTAGACTCACCGCACCCGTCGCGAAAAGCGCCGCGACGTCCGACGGCGCGGGCGACCGGTCCGCTGCGTGTCCGCGACGCTCCGCGATGCTTCTCGAACAGGCCAACATGGCGCGGGTGGCCGGCGACACCAACGCTAACGCGCGGTACTACGCGAGTCGAGTCGGCAACGCGACTGGAGTATCGCGCTTCAATACCGCTCGCGCGATGTATCTCACAGAAACGCGTAAGTTCACAAGTTTTTTAATCACGGACAATCGACACACACGCACAAACTCGCGGCTCTACGCAATTCACGTCGAAGGGAGCGAGCGCGTACGCTCGACGGCATCCGCTGCACGTATCTCGTAGTACGAGCTCGAGAAACGAAGACGAAGTTAGCCACACGATCGCGCACACCGTTCCCGTCCGTGGTACTCGTACTGGCAGTTCGAAAGGCAATGCGACGCACGCTTGTTTTTTCTCTAACCGCCGCGGCCCGCCGCTTGTTTGTCTCGAGCCGCCGCGACCGCTGCGCGCTCAGGTCACAGGTACGTGTGTCGCACTAGCGTTCGAGCCGCCGCGCGGGCAGGCACGCCGCTGGGCGACGCGCGTCATCGCTCTCCGCGCAATTGAACGACGCGACGGGTACGCGAGCCGAGTTTTTCGATGCCGCAGGTACCGCGGGACGTCGTCTTCGTTTCGCGGAGTGTGTGTGCTTGGTACGAGACACGGAAAGTGAACCGCCGAGTCGCCAGTCGCGCTCGCTATTCCTCCGACGTGCGTAGACTAGAGCCGCGGGAGTGTCGATTGCTCGTTAATGTGCGTGTGTCCCGAGTGAACTTAGCGAGATACAGAGAGTGATATTACATCGCGTCGTTAGCTCGACTCCGCAGCACCGTGCAGTAACGCTGGGAATCGACGCCGACGTTCGTCCGTTTGAAGAGGGCCGTGGTCAAACAGAGGACTGGTCTTCCGTACCGACGGTGGTCGCTGCGACACGTCTCACGGCGACGCGCGTCATATCGTTCTCCGCGCAATTGAACGACGCGACGGGTACGCGAGCCGAGTTTTTCGATGCCGCAGGTACCGCGGGACGTCGTCTTCGTTTCGCGGAGTGTGTATGCTTGGTACGAGACACGGAAAGTGAACCGCCGAGTCGCCCGTCGCGCTCGCTATTCCTTCGACGTGCGTAGACGAGAGCCGCGGGAGTGTCGATTGCTCGTGCGTGTGTCCCGAGTGAACTTACGCGAGATACAGAGAGTGATATTACATCGCGTCGTTAGCTCGACTCCGCAGCACCGTGCAGTAACGCGGAATCGACGCCGACGTTCGTCCGTTTGAAGAGGGCCGTGGACAAACTGAGTACTGGTCTTCCGTACCGACGGTGGTCGCCGCGACACGTCTCACGGCACGCAGTAAGTACCTAATATTATCAAGTTCAGCGATCGCGCGACGTATGTATGTACATACATACCATGGTACAACCCTGGTGAAAATAGAATTAGGAGCGTAAATCGAGTGTAAGGGGAGAGTGACAGAAGCGTAAACGAAATGTGTAGGAGGCGTAATTTGGAACAGCAAAGCGTAAAAGAAGCGTTCGACGTTTCTTTTACGCTTCGCTGTTCCAAATTACGCTTCCTACACATCTCGTTTACGCTTGTGTCACTCTCCCCTTACATTCGATTTGCGCTCCAAATTACGCTTCCCACACATTCCGTTTACGCTCGTGTCACTCTCCCCTTACGTTCGATTTACGCTCCAATCTTTATTTTCACCAGGGAATAGACTCGGCCCTCGCGTGTCGGCGGTCCACGCGTAAGGCAGAGAACGATCGGTAAACGCTTAAGACTGTCTTAAGTCGTAGACATAAGGCAAA